TCAGATTGCAAACAGGCGGTACAGGGTGTCCGTGAAATTACGTTACGTTTCCGGATACTTTCTATTTTGAAACTCTGACCCTGTGATCTAGTGGTCAGAGCTCCTGGCTACAGATCCAAAGGTCCGGGTTCGATTCCCGGTGCTACCACATTTTTTTGAGAAGTAGTGAGTCTAGAATGGGGTCCATTCAGCCTCGTGAGGATAATTAAGGAGCTATTTCAATGTAATAGCGGCTCAGGTTTAGAAAACCGAAATTAACGATCGTGGGGATTCGTTGCGCTGACCACGCTACACCCTCTATCCGCTAAAGTTGGCACTAACTTCACCGACAAACGTCGGTCGCTCGGTGGTATAGTTCGCTTGCGGACTCCATGCCACGGAGTTTGTTTTGTCTATTTTGAAACAATTAATGCTGCGGGAAAAATCAAACGTATAACTGAAGAATCAGCAGCGACAGTTTATCTGCACTGCTGTAAGTGGAATTAAATATGAGACCCATTCACTCTCCTGCACACATCTATCTGCATTTCATTATTCGCCACACCCGTATAAGACATTGCTGAGTTAACAGACTCAGTTTTGTCCCCATTTCTTCTTTCGAATGGACCGATATAATTAATTTTGGCATTGCACAGCACCGAGTTCAATTCAGTATTCAGTTATTCAGTATTACAGGGGGTGGGTTTCCCCATGCACCGCGACTAGTAGTCTATTGTACGTCCCCCTTTTAATTTCTACTGTCGCCATACCATACCGGTACTGGTGCTCGCTATCTCCGCTTTCTGCCAGCGAGGTCGGCCTTCTTCTGGCAGTGGTACAAGATAACTTCCCCATCTACCGGAGGCATTGGAAACTACTTGGGCGGGAAACTTTTTGCCTAATTTTGCTCAGAGGTCTCCTCGAGACATGAGGATCTTTTACGTGCCGTAAATCTACGACACGGGACCCATGGCTTAAAGTCCCTCTCGAAGGACTTGTCCCTTGAATTTTTCCGCTCTTAAAAATTCCACAACCTCCGCCGGGTTTGAACACGCGTACCTTGAGTCATGAGGTGGGAACGTTATCCCTAGACTACGGAGGCCGCTACCGAGTTCAGTTAAGCGTTACGATAAACTGCTATTTCAGACGGTGTTGTATCGACTCTTTCGAGAGGCCCCTTTCTTGACTGGAATTCAACTTAAGTCGATCTAGTTTAAAACGAAAACCCTATGCTTGTTTCGAAACTATTTTTGAAAAAATAATTTAGAAACAGACCGATTCGGACGATGTCGTTTCTGTTTATTAGAAACAGAATGCTGGCTACAGACTGCTATAATCTGAAATTAAGGACGTTTTTCCAGCTTCTGAGATTAATGACTTCTTTTAAATTCTGACTAATTTACTGCATAGTATGCTGAATACACAGAGAGAAGGCCACCACCCAGAAACTTAACATTACAACCCTCGGCTCTAAGCCACTTCTTGTTCTTTCATATTCAAAGTCTTCTGAAAATTCCGAGGTGAAATTTTACAGTCACGTGTGACGGATATGAACCAATCAGATTAAAACTACAAGCGAAGAACGTATGTACTACATGGACAGATCACTTCTGAATCTCACCTGCTAGACATTCAATAGGTGACTTCGTCTCTGAAGGAATTTCCGGATTACGTTAGGTAGGCCGCACACCGGCATTCATCAAGACATGTAACAGTCAAGACACGATGTCTGCGACATGACGCAAAGAAAGGAGCACAGTTGAAGCGAATAAGATTATGAAAGCCGCCGTACACCGGTCTGAGTCATGATGCTTACGTCAGCTTCATGCTGACGAATCACGAATGAAGTAAGACTGCGTATTTTGTCTCATATCTTGATGCTTGTCTTGACGCAGTTGGTGTGCCCATAACCACAGCGAGTGGAATCTCTTACATAAATATTAGTGTTTTATTTTTCCTTGGCACTACAGCCCCAGTGGGCCTAAGCCTTCTTCCATGAACTTCTCCGTTCACTTCGGTTTTTCTAGATTTTACACATTCGGTAGAACTCCTGGGGG